TAACTTGCTTAATTACGGCTGTGCAGTTACCGTAATGTAAAATATTATATTCATGTAATAACTTGAGATAAACTTACAGTCAACATTTCTGAATTTAGTCGAATGAACTAGAAACAAAGAAATATTTTCTAAAAAGCCCAGATTGGTACAGGGAGATGAGACAATGTTTTTTGTTATTTTATTCATGTTAAGCCCGATGGGTCAGTCGGCAAGGACATTATGTGCGGGAGTAATTCCGAATAATCTGGAATTAAATATAACCTATTTAATTGGGCCTCAGAAATCACATAGAATTTTTCACTTCTCGAGGAAATGAGCTTTTGTCTCCGTCTTGAAAAAATGTTAGAAAATAGTTTTTTTTTCAAATATTTGCAAATACGGTTAGTGTCAACTTAACAGAAAAACACATAGTTTTTAAAGTTACAGATGCGTAAATTCTCAAAAATATTCTGTACATTTTTGTTCTATGGCTGTCTGTTTTTTGTCGCTATTCATGATTTTTGTCAATTCCAGTTAAGAAAACATTTCGTTTAGTTTACTCGTTTCCACATCATCTTGAGAAAGTACTCAGCGCGTCTCTTTATGTGATATTTCCAGAAGGCCTAGTCCACTGAGTTATCTTACATTTGTTTTGAAGTATATAATTCGTTTCTACATAATCTGTCTAATTTTCCGAAGTCAATAGAAAACGATCGGAATAGTATTTTCTGTTTCATTTATCTATTCCGTTCTCGTCGTCTTCGTCCAGTTCATACATGTCCATATTATTCAGCTATGTGAATCTACTTTGTGACAACTACAACCTGCATTGCAACCATTGGCGCATTTATAAGAAATGAGATTTATTAACTCCTGAGAAGCTTCTTCTTGTAGAGTGTGCATCGGTATCAACCCATTTTTTGAATTTGTAAAGTGTAAAGTTTCTAGTTTCATCGTGTGAGAAAAAAGTGATAAAAATCGCAGAGAATTTAATCAATATTTCCATATCTAAATTTTAAAAAAATAATTAAACGAAATATAATATACATATACCTACTAACTATCCAACAAACATTTTGGTTTAATTTGACATCGATACTACCTAAATTATGTATAATAAATTTAGTCGCAAAATTCGAATTAACGATATTTAAGTAAAATTTACGTTGACACGACATGGAATCGAAATAAGTGGAGAATAAAACGACGACGCGACGTCGAAATTTAGTTAAATTGGCTAAGGTAGGTAAAATTACATATAAATTTTCTTTGTAGTTGCACAGTATTATTGGTTACCAATACTTGTTTAGGTACATTTGACTTCATTTCGACGGCAGTGCAACTTTGAGTTGACTAGTTTAAGGTAGAATCTACGTGCAAATGGCAAATGACATTTAAAAAAAAAAAAGAATTTTATATGTATTTGGTACTTTTCTCTATTAAGTAGTAACTTATTGATAGTCACCTATAAAATTTAAAAGACACCTAATGCATAGTAAGATGAATGAATGTCGGTGATATAAATAAATCCAATTTAATTGCGTACTATATGCAGTTCCCCATTGCTGAAATTAATGTGCCAATAGTTTTTTCTGCATGTTAGCACCTGTATTTCGAAAAGTATCCATGTGTCTCCAAAATATTCATTAATAACAAAATTCTTATTATCAAGTAAAAAATTGACACTAAGAGTTTGGGCCAAAAGTATGTTATACTTAGTCAATATGACTTAACAAGTATAATTGTATTTTTTTTAACCTTTTCATTAATTAGTTCGTTTCCATACAAATTTATTTTGAAAATTTCTATTTCGAATCGTACTCCAACTGTGGTAAGAAAAGATATCGTAATGCGATAATTTGATCTTAAAGCTAAAATGACTAGTTAATTCTACGAATTTTACAGATATTTTTGTCTCAAGTCAAATTACCTTAAAATTTAGGACATTATGGTTAACTCTACCTGTTGAGATTATTAAAAGTTTAAAATTTACTTTCTTAAGGTAACCTTAAGGTTAACTGTCTTTAAAAATGTAACTACAAAAAGATAATTGACTAAATGGTTGACATCAGATAAGCTATGTAGAATTTATCAACGTTGTCGACCTAATATTACTTTAACGGAGCGTAATAAAGTCAATTAAATTAGGTTACTATGTAGGTATAAATTACGTAGGAATTCCAACAAAATCTACTTAGGTTAGTCTATCGTTTTGACGATATCTAGTCAGTAAAAAGGTATGCCACGTTCTTCCAGTATTTTCGATGGTCTCGGTAATTTAAGCATATATTAGGAGGAGGAAGAACTATTTAGTTAGAGCATGAAATTTTACCAGGGTCATTAATGAGGTGGCATTAGAAGTAAACTAAAGTAAATGCATACGCAAAAAAGAAGTATCAAAGATAACAATTAAATAACATTAACAAAAGTTGGTTGAACTTACCCACATATAAGTAAAGATACCAATTAAGGCCAACAGGTAACAGTGAAACAGAGCTGGTTATAGAGTTAATAAAGTAAATTTGAGCGCCACGTGATTTGATCCTGATTAGGTATCGTTAGCTATTAGCAATTATCACTCAAAATCACGAAAAGGCAATAATCAGATTACAAGAGTAGAGTAGGTAATTTTCATAAATAAAAAGAAAGTGTGTACGCATAAGTATATACAAATATATTAAAAATACCATTGAAATAATCAATTCACTATTACACCAAAATTAAAACTATTTCAAAATTACAATATTGTACCGCGAAAAGTACTCACATTGACAAAAAAAAAGGCAGTTACATATGTGTGTATAATTGAGAAATGGGCACAATAATCACATACAAAAAAAAGAAAGAAAACTGAAACAAATAGCATACTAATAGGTATTAAGAATGACTTGAAAATTCATACATTCAAAAGTTACCAAGTATGTAGCTATATTCTGGTTCACAACCTTTTACCTTACTAATGTAAATTTTTAATTAATTATTATCAAATAGTTTTACATTTTAGTATTTAACAAAGGATAATTTAGTAGTTTTAATAACTGATCAAATAATATTATTGGATCCAATTTAGGAAGTATACATATACAGTTGATTGACAAAATAATTTGCAAATATCTAGACATACATATACGTATCCGTATACATAAGTGTGCGTTTGTGTAAGTAAATTAATAAATCAATCGATAATAATATCCAGGTTAAAAAAAAGTACGTCTAATTGACTGAGCAAAACTAATATGTATATATTATGCACAACCCCGTAGATATAGATAACCCATATAGTTATGTGTATGTCGGCATAAGTAAGTTAATTTGGCAACTTCGGTAAAAAAAATTTAACAAATGAATACTACAAAAAAAATTTAAAACGTAAAGTGTTTAATATAAATGGTTTTAAATTTAACGATTAAAGGCTAACACGGTTATAAATTGTAAGGTAAAATTTTATGGCCTTTAAACGTTTTCAGCACGCACAGTTTTGTCTATTATTTCCTCTAGGTGTACGAGAAATGTCCAAGCTAAAAGAAAATTCTTATAGTAAGTACATACCAGGGCAACTGAGACTTCTAAAATACCTAGAGACGAACACAGCACAACGAAGTCCTTAAAAAAAATACACCAGGCAGGAAATGAATCGGGTGTATTCAACCAAGGAATATTCCTAAATATATGTTCCCAGAATGTTCCAAGATGGTTAGCAATTTCTAGCGGCATACAACAACAGATGTTTTAGATAAACCCCGCCAAGGAAAACCCTAAAATCAATACTACGATCTAATAGATACTCCTAGTTTAAGAGTTAACACTAATTGTTATTTAGATAAATATAAGTTAGCATACCTCAATGGAGGGCTTCAGAAGATGCACTTGATGCAATGCAATAACTTTAAAGAAACGTTGTTCTAAATCCTCTTGCAGAGATAAGATTTTCATAACATAACATTACTAAATAGTTATTAAACGGTAATATGAAAATCACAAACAAAAAAAATCTATGGATTACAAAAATAACTCTCCACTTTCGCACGACGAACAACCTTTTACTAAAGTCAAAGAAACAATTGCCATTAAAAAAAAGTAACAGTTTTTTACTAATCTAGAATTACCAAATAAATTGACGAACAGTAGCCAACTCTTGGGAAGGAAAAAGGGTATTAATTCTTAAAACAGTGAAATCGGACAAATTAAGTGATTTAAACGATAGTGTTATAAAATGTCTTTCTGGAGAACTTTATTGCATTCGATAATATTACTTGATGAATAAGATATTAAATTTATTAACTTAATAAATGTATAAAAATCTAGCGCGCGCCTATGGTACGTCAGGAACAGTGGTAAAACATTGATATCCCTAAATATAAGAAACTACCGACGGATGCTTTTCAATGCAACATACTTATATTAGAAGATATGTTAAGTTGACAAAACTAATATAATTCGATTCCATTTTATTTCTTTTCATTTTAAGGGAGAATTTTACACAAACATGATTTGATAAAATTGAACTGTAACAGGTAAATATTACCTAATTGTACTACCTACTTTGACTTTAATAGAAATTTACCTTTAAGGTAATTTGTGGTAGATTTTTAAGGTGTTTTCCCTTGCTGCTTTGGTTAAAATTACTTTGACGCAAAATAGTGTACGGGATAGATTTATTGCTATTATTTCCATAAACCTAAATATGAAGTGAGACCAATTGGTAAATTTCTATGGGAAGTGTATTTTTCTAGTCGATCTTAAGTCATAGTTACCTCAATAAGTAAATTCAACTTTTACCAAGTTGAGTTAGAGTTAATTTTATGAAAAACGTTTGGTGAGCAGTCCCTCTAAATTGTTTGAAAAAATATTACTGATTTAAATTTTTAAATTAAATTAAACACTACAGGTATTTAACCGCCCGAATCCCGGAAGGTACCTCAAAAGGCACCTTTTTGTGGTAGAGGGACATTTAGAAATTATGTACACATACCCAATGTTCGAGTATGCTAGGATTAATTTATGGTTTAGAAAAAAATTCTAGCTCCTCGACCTGGGATTGAACCGGGAACTCTAGAGTGAGACGCAAGTGTCCTCACCACTCGACCATGAGGCAATTTTGCCTAACGCAAAGCAAAGCAATTTTGCCTAATGTAAAGTTTTTGTTTATTGTATTCTTCTACTAGATTTTTTTGCTAGACTTGAAAGTAATGAACAAATATATGAGATCAAACTTTTACCTTACAGTTGGATATTCTTGACAATTAACTAAATAATCGGAATTATTGAGTAAAATACTAGATTGTGTTTTCAAGCTCCGAGTCAATCATTTTCAAGTTGTATGTCAGTGATCCAGTTGCTGAAAAAATAGATTTAGGTATCTTTCCTCAACAAAAGGGAGATTTACTGTATACATCTGGAAGTTGAGTCGATTTAGTCCATTTATATACTTTCTCTTGTTTCCTTCCCCGATTTCCAGAGGCATCTTTGTTGATATTATTTTGTTCTTCAACAATGCTTTTTTCGTTTTCCCCATTGATGTGGGTGGTCTGGTTCTGAAAATCTTCTCTCAGTGTTTCAAATTCTCTAAATCTTCCTACGTTTCAAAATCTGCTGAAATATATAGTCTGGATCTGCTACCGAATCATCCGAATCCTCAGGAAATTTTTCATCACTGTTTGCTTGATATTCTTCATAATGTGAAGAAAGTTTTTTTTCTGTTTTCTGAGCGACATATTTGATAATATATTACATTTTTCCTAATGTAGAAGGTAGATCTTGGCGTAAAACTGAAGATAGATTATTTTATGAGTCCCCTAGAAATTGGCTATTTGATTCAGGTAAATTTTGATCCTCCTATCTGAGAGACATTGGTGTTGAATGTCGGCTGATAATGTCTGGCAGATTGTCTTCAGCATCTGAGTCTCCTTCGCACTCAGAATCTATGGCCATATTATCTGTTATTGCATCTTCGTCAGCAATCTCGTTTATAAGCTCTTCTAATTGATTTTCAGATAAATATTTACGTTGCCACATTTTTCTTTTGGGGATTTCTTATAAATTAAAAATTATTGAAGTCTTGCGCCACGCCACTGTGCACTGTGATAAAAGAGATGACATCAATATTTTACATAATTGCAGCCCGGCCAAGTGTTTACACATCAAAACCTATTTTTTTATTAAATGTATAGACATTTGCCAGTATGTATACCAAAAAACTAAATTATTACTCAACAATTTCCAAGTGAAAAAAATAATTCAAAAAAATGAAGAGAACACCTAACCTTACAAAATTTTAAGAATCTCGTGGTATATTATCGAAATTTCAAAACTATTTTAACAAACTGATCCTCAATATAAAAGCTAAAAATATGTATTTGAAGTACTTACCAATAATTTTTTTAAAATATTTACGATATTTATCACAAAAAATAACTTTTGTCGCAACACGTATGAATTCTACAAAAACCTGGTTCAACTGACCGTTGGGAGAATAATTTCCCACTTCAAGAGTTTCAAATGGCCGCGTAACTTCTATGGTATTGTAGAGATGGCAGCACATGTATACAAATTAAATATAATTTTGTGGGAGATTATTATCCCAACAGCACATTAGTAAGTCAATTTTCATGCGGTGGGAAACTATTCTCCCAGCATCACCTAAAGGGTTAACAGGCAGGTAATAAGCGATACATGTAACCTGTTTTTTTAGAGCTGGTGTACAAATGTTCTACATGATTCTCACTTCAGTAAACATTTTTGATAGTGAGTTTCTAGAAAGTTTACTATAAGGATCGTCTTGTTGTCAACTCTATAGTACAGCTTGTCTAGTATAGCAATCTTATTATTATAGGTCGGTAACTTTATCCCGCTAAGAGGACCGCATTCAAGACTATCAGAACTAAGGCTGGGAATTTTCCAGATTTTAGTATTCGAATATTCGTTCGAGAAAATATTCGAATATTCGAACTATTCGAATAATTCGAATTATTCGAATACCTATTCGAATATTCGAATACTCGAATAATCCGAATTATTTAATAGGTATCCGAATAATCCGGATCCTCGAATACTCATTATTAATAGGTATAGCACTGAATACTAGTGAATAGTGAATACTCTATTTGAGTATTTGGTTAGATAGACCACAATAATAGTCGTGACGTAAACCACTAAGCAGGCAATTTGATTTGCTTTCCATACCCACAATAGGGTATGTCTCCTGTAGATGTGCCTTAAGGGTCAGAATTATTCAGTTAGTATTTTATTTTAGGATTGAGGCGCTATTGTTCGCATTTAACTATTGAAGCTTAAATAAAACAAAAATAGAGCTAGTTTATTATACTTCTGTCATAACTGTTTTCCTTTTCGAAGAAAATAAAAGTGCTCTAAAATTAGAATGTTTTTAAAAAAGACGCAGATTGTGAAGGTAAAACAAATACATGAAAAGTCAATAGTTAAATATTTACAGGTTTTCTAAAATTTAAAATTTAATTTTAACCCCTGCCTTAGTACAGTAAGAATAAGGTCTAGGCGAGAAAGAGATGGAATAGTTTGACTGGAGTAAAACGTGCCACTAATGTGGTCTATTTATATATTTGGATTTTAGAATAGGTACCTACCTATACCTACTATCTACCTACTTTGTTTGAATGCAAACTGCATACCTATTCGTACATAATTTAATAATATATTTTAATATTCAAATTTACTCAGATATAATCGAATATTCGAATACTCGAATATATTCGAATATTCGAGTACCTATTCGAATATTCGAATAATTTCCCATTAGAATAATTCGTATTCGAATACTCGATTATTCGATTACTCGAATTATTCGTATTCGATTCCCAGCCTTAATCAGAACAGACAACTTTAAAAGTCACATTACTTGTTACAAACATTTATTTAAACATAAATTTATACATTTAAAGCAGCATAGAAAGTTTTAAAATATTTCATTAAATTTATAACTTAATACAAGTTTGTAAAAAAATGCAATGTAGCATTCAACAGTTAAAATGAAATATTTCGTAGCATCGACTTTTTTTCTAGTAAATTTAAAATGGTAAGTTAATATTAAATATTGACCTATTCAGATATTTAACTCCTTAGGAACAAATTAATTTCTTGCATATTTTATGTTCCAATAGAGTAATGTCACATAACTTCTTTTATACAGATTTAGTGCTAAAAATGAGTATACTTATTTTACACACTTGCATAATTCGTATTTGGAGCGACGGAGGACTTAACTGTTTATATCTTAACTCACTTTATCCGAAATTAATTCATTTTTCCTGGGAACCATCGAATCATAGAAAACTAAAACAAAATTGTTGATTATAAGGACAAATAAATCACCACAATAAATTTCACTGAATTAAAAATAAATAAAACCGTTTAATAAATGCCCTCCGAAAACATAAAATTCTGTAATAATGAAAACGGCCTTTTGTACATTAATTGGTTATGTGTAGATCATATCATTTCCTTCTCTTTTAATGATGAGACATATTCATTACGGTTTTTTTGAATAACTTATTCTTAGTATATTTTTACAGTACGTTATGTTTTATTTAAAAAATCTCTCATATTTTCTTTAATTGCTAGATTTATTTCAAAAGATTTTAATAAAGAAGATTTTCTTTAATAATAATTACATTTATACTGCAATTTTATTTACTGTCATTACAAAATAATAATTCTTAATAACTTATTCTTAATTAAACTTTTTAGCGTTGGCTAAATTATGAGTGAGGAAGCTTAAGCGAATAACTTTATTTAAATAAAGCTGAAATATAAATATATAGACCATGATTTTAATTCGTAAAGCGCTTACAAAGCATTTATCAGAGAACTCCATTGTTACAATGCAAACTTGATATTAACTTACAAAGCGAAGAGAAGAATTAAACTAAAAGTTTCAGTCTGCAGCAGCAAAATTAAGATCTGGAAATGGTAAAGTTTTAATTTTTATTTTATTGTTTTCTTGACCGAAAAATCCACTGTCATCTATGCATTCTACAGAAAACCCAATTAATTTTGTACAATACAAAAGTATTGGCATAAAATAGATTCGGTCAGCGTTGACTCCCGAACCTTGATTAAAGAAAATCTAAACTAAAAAATGCTTTGTTTTCGAAATCTTATTATCATATACATAGCGCCCAGAAACACATTATGTATGATTAGACGATCAGTAGCTCTTTTTTGGGCTAATATTCCGTTTCAAATAAATTCATAACACATTTCATAAATATCGCAATTAATCTGTATTCTCATAATTACAGAACTGTCACTTGAGAGTATCTCGAGGCTGGAATCGTCAATTGGGAACTAAAACCACCACGGCGCATATGGCGCTGTAAGCAGACAAGTAATGATCAGCTGATTCTTGGTTTATTTACATTGGTTTTAAGATATTTCTTATATAGAAAATCTATATCATTGCGTTATCCGAAAGTTAGTAACTATATAAATCCAATACGTTTAACCATTTTGTCCTAATTTTTGCTAATTAGCGGGGTTCTTAACCTAAAAATTTCTTACCATTATAATTTTATATAGTCAAACAATGTGTTTTAATATGAACTTATAAAATTGCCTAGTATTTACATGGTTATACAGTTGCCCGAAATCAGGGTATGTTGTAGGTCAATAAATTAAAACAACACTTTATTGCATATTATGTATAGGAGATTCGATCAAAATAACTACCACTTTCAGCTAATACTACCCCACATAGTAAGTTATTGGATTTTGATCCAAAATTCTACGATATATAAAATAAATAAAAGCTTTCTAAAAAATCCGTATCCTAGGAAAACATGGGGGTTTTGCAAAATTTTCAATCTAGGCGTTCAATTGTTTACACAAGGATTCATGAGCTGATTTCTTTACATCATTGATTGGAAATGGAAATAGAAATATGCCGACTTTAAGTAACTAAAAGAATGTATATAAAGATCGCACTTTTTACTTTACTTTAAAAATGCATCTGCAATTTATGTATTTACAATATTACATTCTCTTGGAAGACACACAAAAATAGTAAAACCACTTGTATTTATACAGAGTGTTTCACTGAGGATGGACCAACTGGCGCAGGG